AGGAAGTCTCAAAAAAAAAAAAAAAAGGCTGGAGAAGGGGGGGAGGAGAACAATAAACACAAGAGTAGAAACTCCATAAAACAAATATAAAATACTTTGTATTTAGACATACAACAAATCTACATGCATCCCAAAACTACATATATACACGAAATTAAGAAATTTCACGGCACGCACGTCCTCCGGGACATCCGCTAACAGAGAGAGAAGATTAGCATGGCCGATGCGCAAGGATTTTTGTATTTAAAAAAAAAAGGGGAAGCAATATTTGTGAAAAAAAAAATAGAGGGGATGAGACGCATAAATCGAGAAGTAAAGAAAAAAAAAAAAAAAACATTAACGTACAAATAAGAGTAGAAACTCTATATACGAAATTTCAAATATAAAACAGTTTTAAATTATATACGCCACAACACTGTACACACTTCGGACATACTCACACTCGGATTTTCCTGGAAATATCTGAACCCAATTACGGCTTACCGCGGATGTATCTCACCGCAATTACGTCCAGAGACCAGTGGAAAGAGTCCTGGTGTGAATACGCCCTCAGAAATTAAGAAAACACACACACAACCTCCTGACGAGTCGGTGAAAGTCCGACGAAACAGTCTGTTCGGTACAGTCATGCCTTTTTTTGAGTCTATAGCGAATATGACAAGCACACAAATACACACACACACACACACACACACACACACACACACACACACACACACACACACACACACACACTTGAGCGTCATGTTTTACAAATTCTGTAGTTTTATGAATCTTCAAAAACAGTTTTTTTACCGTACCGAGCATCCCGTCGTCTTGAGCGTCGCTCATGAGCTCCTGACAAATATGCGATCGTCTCAATGCTGCATCCAAATTGTCGCACAGTCCGTCGTCCATCGCTGACGCGGTCGCGCAATCCTCTGCTTGGCTGTCTATCATCGACGGCGCAAAGTCTTCTTCTTCTTCTTCTTCTTGGCTATCGGTCGCCATCGCCTGCCTCTCAGCAGGCATCCTCTCCTCCAACTTGTTGTCGCTCATTGATAGCCTCAGCTCTCCTTGGCTGTCGCTCATTGGCCTTCTCTCGTCTGGACTATCGCGCATTGACTGCCGCTCCTCATCTTGGCTTACGCTCATTAACTGACACTGCCGCTCTTCTTCTCCTGGACTGTTCATCATTGGCTGTCCTCCTCCTTCTTGGCTGTTACTCATTGGCCTACAGCATCCGTCTCCTCCTTGGCTGTCGCTCATTGGCAATGGCAGCCTGTCGTCATCCTCTTGGCTGTCGCTCATTCGCTGCCGCCCATTCTCCTCTTGGCTGTCGCTCATTTGCTGCCGCCCATTCTCCTCTTGGCTCTCGCTCATTCGATGCCGCCCACTCTCCTCTTGGCTTTCGCTCATCATTTTCTGCCGCCCATTCTGCTTATGGCTGTCGGTCATTTGCTGCCGCCCATTCTTCTCTTGACTGTCGCTCATCTGCTGCCCCCCATTCTCCTCTTGGTTGTCGCTCATTCCATGCCGCGCATTCTCCTCTTGGCTGTCGCTCATTTGCTGCCGTCCATTCTGCTCCTGGCTGCCGCCGGTCATTGGCTGCTGCCGCGCATTCTTCTCTTGGCTGTCGCTAACATGCTGCCGCCCGTTTTCTTTTCCTTGCTGGTAATCGTCCATTTCCTGCCGCCCAGTCCCCTCTCGATCGCCGCACAGAAAAGCTGCAGACGAGCACCCTTCTCCTTGGCTGTCGCTCATCGGCCGCCGCTCATCATCATCACTGAGCACGATCCTGAAGCCCGAGTCCTCATCCGAGCTGCTGTCGCTCACTCCCCGCCATTCTTCCTCCTGGACGTCGTTCATTGGCTGCTCGACCTGCCGCCCATGTCCTTGACTGTCGCTCCTTATCGACGCCCCCTGCCGGGCCTGCCCCTCTTCTTCGTGATCCGATGTCTTGTCGCCCCCTATTCCCTGTCGCATATCAATTGCCATTCCCCCGCCTTTTTCAACATTCCCTGTCATCCATCGTCGTCGTTGACCAGTTCCCCCAAATGGACTGGTTTCCCATCGTTGACCGACGTGCTCGTGCTGTTGCGTTATCTGTACGGACGCATGCGTGATGTTCACGTCCTCATTTTCTTCTTCTGTTTGACTTTTTCCGGTTGACCTTCGCCCGGGCACGCCACGGGTTCGAGTCTCTCCTCGTCGATCTGCACCCCCCTCTTTGGCAGGCGATGACGATCCGTCAGCTGCGTACGATAGATCCATTGACTTCGGCCGGCTTTCTGGCTCCATAGTCAACTTTGGCCTCTTCGTGGACTGCTCCACAGTCGCGACACTGTCGTCGACCACCGCTGAGGACCAAGTGCCGGTAATCCCGAGGGTCTCCTCCATCGCGTCACGCCTAGCAGAGGGCGGCGCTACGCTACTATGCAGTACGACTACGCTCGTGCGTCCGTGCGCACTATGCAGTACGACTACGTTCTCGTGCTATGTGCGTGCTATGTGCGTGCTATGTGCGTGCTATATGCGTGCTATGCGATGTGCGTGCTATGCGATGTGCGTGCTATGCTATGTGCGTGCTACGCTATGTGCGTGCTATGTGTGCGTACGTGCGCACCATGCTATGTGCGTGCTATGTGTGCGTATGTCCGCACCATGCTATGTGCGTGCTATGTGTGCGTACGTGCGCACTATGCTATGTGCGTGCTATGTGTGCGTACGTGCAAACTATGGAGTACGACTATGTTCGTGCTATGTGCGTGCTATGTGTGCGTACGCGCGCATTATGCTTTGTGTGCTATGTGTGCGTACGTGCGCACTACGGAGTACGACTTTGTTCGTGATATGTTCGTTCTATGTGCGTGCTATGTGTGCGTACGTGCGCACTATGCTATGTGCGTGCTATGTGCGTGCTATGTGTGCGTACGTGCGCACTGTGCTATGTGCGTGCTATGTGTGCGTACGTGCGCACTATGCTATGTGCGTGCTATGTGTNACGTGCGCACTATGCTATGTGCGTGCTATGTGTGCATACAGCAGCATACGTGCGTACTATGCTATGTGCGTGCTATGTGTGCGTACGTGCGCACTATGGAGTACGACTATGCTTGTGCTATGTTCGTGCTATGTGCGTGCTATGTGTGCGTATGATGCGCACTATGGAGTACGACTACGTTCGTGCTATGTTCGTGCTACGTTCGTGCTTTGTTCGTGCTACATTCGTGCTATGCTCGTGCTATGTTCGTGCTATGTTCGTGCTATTTTCGTTCGATGCTCGTATTACGTTGGTGCTATGTGCGTACTCTTGTTTTCACGGGAGATGCCGCTCCGAGCGTTGACTAGCTACCTGCTCTCACGCCGACACGCGTCCTTCAGAAGACAGCGGGCTACGCTACGTGGGTACGTGCATGATTGGTGCATCTACTATGTTAGTGCTATGCTCGTGATATGCTCGTAATATGTCAATACTTCGTGTTCACACGAGCTGCTGCTCCTAAAAACGGAAAATTGCAGATAGTCTAGCTGCACTCATACCACCATCTGCCCTTCGGAAGATCGCCCCTCCCGCAACTCCGAGCTGTGCTTCGGCCGCCGACGCCACAAGTCGACTGTCGCTACGCTACTAACCTCTCTCTCTCTCTCCCTCTTTCTCTCTCTCCCAATTCTCTCTCTCTCTCTCTCTCTCTCTCTCCGCCGCGACTGCGTTCTTCGTGTGCGCTGACGAGTCTTACACCACTCCGGCCGATCATTGCCACCACCATAGCCAGCACAGTTTATACAGTCATTCTTTTCCGGTGCTGAAGTGCTATAGCCACCAGCCCACCATCAGCGCTGGCGTGAATCGCCCGCGCAACTCGACAGAATTTCACTTGGTGAATCTCCCGCCCAACTGGACAGTCCCTTTTTTTTTTTTTTTTTTTTGAAAAGTGATCTATATTCTTGTCCCAATCACTCGGCGGACGAGCAGAGAGCTACGCGGCTACGCATAGGGGTGACAAATGAAGCCAACCTTTCAAGAAAAACAAAAGGAGGACAAACAGGCGGGGTAAGCGAAGGGGTATACGACCTTTTACTGTCTGAACATTTTGCGGAGGCGGCAATACCCAATACCCAGGCCCTGTGGTTCGGCTGTAGTTGCGGCCTGGGTATTGCCGCCTCCACACTGCCTCCGCCTGTAGTTGCGACCTGGGTATGGCCGCCTACTCGGCCTCCACACGGGCTCCCCGGGGCAAGGTCCCTCTTGCACGGATTAAGACATTCTGGCCGTTGATCTTTGCTATCTACGGTCAATATCGCTTAATTCGTGTAAGTGGGACCTAGGCCCCGGCCGCTCCCGCACTCACGTGTGGAGCTTGGGTGTGCGCAGGGGCGCGGATGCTCTGCGCCCGTCTCCCAGTGCGGGAAGCCGCCCATTTCGAACTGCTTTTTTCTGTTTCTTTTTTTTTCCCCCCTTTTTGAGAAATTTTCGATATGCCCCTAAAAGCTCGATTGCCCCTCCGACGGCCGACTTAGTACTTACCCTGTCGTGCCCCTGGGGCCTCTGAACTTTCCTGCAGGCACCTGTCCGCAAGGGGCACAACTTTCCCCGGTGCCCTTATTGGACCACCGGTCCCATTTCACCTGTCCGTGCGCGATATGCAGTCATGAGGGGCATGCACCTTTTCATCATGCCCTTGAAGCAGCGACACACGGAATCTGAAGTACGTGGTTTTTGTGGTTCTGCTGCAAAAAATGAAGAACGTGTGTTTGTGTGTGTGTGTGTGTGTGTGTGTGTGTGTGTTATTGAATGAGCTCCCGTTTGAACCAGCTCTTATAGCAACGTAGCCACGTTTGACTCTAGTCATGAATGAACGATATTAAACATTGATTATAAGACATAATAAAAGGAAGAATTATTTATACTTATTGTAGTAAATGGGCCGGGGGAGGAGGAGGAGAGAGAGAGAGAGAGAGAGAGAGAGAGAGAGAGAGAGAGAGAGAGAGACAACGTGCCCACCATGGATATGCCCTTTCAAGGGTGACGCTGCCCACCATGGATATGCCCTTTCAAGGGTGACGCGGCCACTTCGTTTCTCTCTCTCTCTCTCTCTCTCTCTCTCTCTCTCTCTCTCTCTCTCACACACACACACACACACACACACACACACACAGCATACTAAGTGTGTCCCCGGTCAGTGAACGGTGACCAGCTGGTCATATGCCCTGCGACCATGCATGATGACTGGCCCGACCATGAGACCGCCGTGTTTGTTTCTTTTTTTTTCCCCATTTTTTTTGTTTTTTTTTTTCAGCTCACCCCGCCACCGTCGCCACAAGCCCCACATTTTAATGACATTAAAAAAAAAATTCGACATAACCTACAAAACAACATACAAAAATGCTCATTTTGGCTGGTTCCCTGATTTTTCTTTTCTTTTTTAATTCAAAAAATATTATTCGTGAAAACAAATAATGAAAAAAATATGGGGGGGTACCCTCTGATGATCCCCACCCGCCTAAGAAAAAAAACAAAAAACTTCCCCAGCCAAAAAATAAAAACAAAAATTATTTCCGCTACCCGCCACTGCAGTGACCGCCCGGCGTTCACTAATTTCGTGAACCGTGACAGGGGTCCGGTCACAGACCCCCAGTTCATACACGGGGGTACTGCACAGATCTTGACCTTGTACTGGTCCGATATTCGAAATGCTTGATCTGCCTGTGTCCCTGTGCCAGATATGTGTGTGTGTGTGTGTGTGTGTGTGTGTGTGTGAGAGAGAGAGAGAGAGAGAGAGAGAGAGAGAGAGAGATGAAGTGGCCGCCATAGATGCACATAGCCACAGAGGCGCTCTGAAAAGATGCACGGTACCGGTAGGCCCTGGGGGGTATGGATTTTTTTTCTGCTGGTACTCAACGGTATCTGGTAGGGGCATACTGGACATTTGGAACCGCTACCGGTAGGGGCATATTGAATATAGTTCAGGCCCAATGACGCGAGGGGTTTTTCAGAAACTTCAACCGTTGTCAGAGGGGCACGACAGGGTCAGTCGGCCATCAGAGGGGCACACCGCAAATAAATCGAACTTTTAGGGGCATATCGTCCCTTCTTTTTTTCCTTTTTTCTTCAACACGAAAAATATATTCGTGCTATACAGGGAAGCTGTCTCCAGGAGAGCAGTGGCTGAGGCTCTTCCAGGCCTAATGGGAAGAGGCGTGCCCATAAGTCAATTTCATAATTGGAGCCTTGGGCACTGTGCCTTTGAAAAAAAAAAAACAAAAAAAAAACAGACCTCCTTTATTAGAATTGGCCCAGTGCCAAGGGCCAAGGCAAAGAACATGAAGGAGCGAAAGTGCAGGGACTGCAGGGGCCGGAAGGTCTCCAGCCATCCTCGCCGGGCGGAGCCCCACCGCTGTAACCAAGCCGAAAACCAGACCAAAATCAGGCGGACAAACGCAATACCACTAGGCAACGACCAGAACAGAAAGGCTCGGCAAAACAGTGGCCCTCTCTAGCCACACAACAAACATAACACAACCAGGACCAAAAAAAAGTCCTCCAGTTGGCCAGACAGACACTCTTAACCCAGAGGGAGAGAGAGAGCCAAAAAGAGGCCAAAGGAAAAATCCCCTGTACAGCCATCAATTTGAAAGAGCGCAGGCAAAGCAGCCCATCTCCCATGAAACCAATGCACTCTGCTCTCTGAAACCGCGCGTTTTCCGCGGTCTGAACACGAGCCCGCCCGAACACGGAGTTCAATTCTGCGGTTTGGTGCCTAGCGCTGCTGCGCTGCCTGGGGACCGACTGTAGGGGGCTGTTGGGGGTGCAGGACGCGTGGGAGTCGAAGTAACAGCTACTAACAGCCAAAAAAAAAAACCTGCACACCGTGGTGTGCATATGAGGGTGCGGCCATGTTCTCGAACGGCATTGCACATTCGCGCGTGCCGTTCCAGAAAGCAAAGGCAGCGACCGCAGCGCTCGAACGCGCGCTTGCGAGCGAGCGAGCGAGAGAGAGAGAGAGAGAGAGAGAGAGAGAGAGAGAGAGAGAGAGAGAGAGAGAGAGAGAGAGAGAGAGAGAGAGAGACTCTGATCCATTCAACCCCACACCCGCAACCCTTAACCCCACACCCCCAACCCTCAAGTTCCTCAGCCCTCAACCCCACACCCCCAACCCCACACCCCCAACCCTCAACCCCACAGCCCCAACCCTCAACCCCACGGCCCCAAACCTCAACCCTACAATCCCAGCCCTCAACACACACCGCCAACCCCTCACACCCCCGCAAAGCGCACGAACCTGTCTCTTATACACATCTAGATGTGTATAAGGTCTTGGTACTAGTGACGTACGCTGGCACTAAAA